CTCATTACCCCAGACGTGCTATTGTTCGCTATGTGTAAAACAAACGGTTCGTGAATTGGTGTTAAATTAAGTTAGAGTGATTATTGATACAATGAATAATGTAAAAATATTCGGAACTTTTTCTTCAAAAACAGACATATTGATACAATTTTTATAATTTTTTATGGTTTTTTAATATAAATTTTTCATATATATGTTGGGTTGAGGTTAAAATTTTTAAAACTATTGGGTAATATTTTATTCTAAAAATATCTTTATTAAAAGTCAATAGTATAAAAACTACCGGTCTGTTGATGAACATCATCTGGCCAACAAAGAAAAAGGTCAGAAACGTCAGAAGACGTTAACATGTCCCTTAACAACGAAGCATGTGTTAGCCTTCAACTCGGGCGACGCTGCATCGTAGGTGCGTTAGCCAACGTACATTTATCCTGAAGAAGGCCACAAAATCGAAAGTTGGGTATTAAGCCTAGTTGCTTACCTTAAATCTATGAAAGCAAATATTTCACTTCCAATGCGGAAGCTGCAGGGTATCTCAGAACAAATATTACTAACCCGAGGGAATGCAGAGGGGCCGAAAATAACTTTTTGCCAATGAACATGTAGTGGGAAGTTTCATATAACGCAGTTACACGTGTGGCATTTGCCGCTGATGGTCATGCAGCCTTTTATGGGCAGTTATTTGGCAGGTACACGAAACCTGCTTGACTGAGCCAGAAGATTGAATGTGACCTGCTGTGCGTAACGGGTTGCCTCTCAGGGGCAAATGTCTCTAATAACTCCGTTATATGAAATTTCCCACTATATGTTCATTGAAAGAAGCTAACATTTTCGACCCCTCTACATTTCCTATAAGTTTGTAGCATTTATTCTTTTTTTTCAGGTACCTGTAGTTCATGTAGGTGTTGTTTTCTTTTGTCTGCTGTTAGGTTCAGTGCGACGTTAGGCTAGACTTTTCAACCATTATTTTAACCTGATGCGGAATGCAAGAAGATAATGTGTTGAGGTGCCAGGTTTGCACATATATTTAATTACCGAAACTATTGCTATGGAATAAAATATCCTTATGTAAATACAGATCTACATCATAGAAATATTTTGCATTAATCAAGTAATTATTATTTGAACGAGATATTGAACGCTTTGGTGATAACATTAAGGCATTTTTTAATATTTTTATTTCTAAGAAATACTGTTATGTAGTTAAAAATGTATGTAAATTGCAATTATCCCTTAAGATAAGTCCTCCAATACGTATGTCTGAATTGGCCCCTTAATCCCAATACAAATACGCACTACTCACTTGAAAGAATTTTTCATGTGTCCATAGCAGTAGTTGACTCTGCGTAAGAGGGGCCTGCCAGAGTCCCATGCGGCGCACGACGCCCCGAGGGTGGCGATGGTGCCCATGGCGAGTAGGGCAACGTACACATTGGTCTCTTCGCCCTGAACACATCACAGCTGAATAATAGCAATTGACATTTGAAGGCAAGGAAGGGGATGTTTCCATGACTAGAAGTTTCCGGAAGAAAGCGCTAGGCCGAGTGTAGGAATTACAGGTGTGCATTCTCCGCAATTCTACCGGCCCGCGTCCGCCCGCCCCTCTTTCTCTCGATATCAGGCGGTCGGCCGGCCGTGGCAGCTGGTTGCGAGCTCCCGGTCACCAGAGATCGGCCGAAACCGCTGAGCGCTCGATTTAGATTTAGTAAACAAAAACACACACACAAAGAAATAGTAAAAATGTATGTGACGTATGGGCGAGAAGATTATCTGCGCACGTTTTCTTGAGTTCCAGAATCTCTTTCTATCATTTTAACTATAAAGAATTGAAGGATGAGTAAATTTAAAGATAAATACATTAAAATTAAAAAAAGCGCGAGATTAGCCACATTTTGAAAACGAGACATTTTTGTTCCTGAGTTATAGAAAACTTATTTGCAACTAAACAAACTGCAGATTTGATGTTTCTGCATTGCTAACAAAATAGTAATGTGCCCTTACCTCTACTCCTACCACAACAAGCAAAAGGATACTGCAACAAAACGTGCGAATAGTGAAGCAACATTTACGTCTAGAATCAAACCAAGGGATCTCAGCATTTGCTCAATGTATCAGGGAAACTGGACAAAAACCTGATCGAGATGTGGGTAATTGACCTGGTTATTGACACCGGTCGTTACCGATAACTGGCAGACTTCATCCGGCGAACTTCGCCTCGCAAGACTCGGCCGCCACGTCGGAGTAAATATCAGATGCTACGTCCCAGGAAAAGGAAGGAGTACTGATTTGGTTTTTAAAGTAAATTATCAATAATTTCCATTTGACAAATTGTAATTTATAAAATAAATATATGTATTTTATATTTAAAATTATTTACAACTCCAAAATTCGACTCGCCGACGTACTGGATAACCTGAAGTGGAAATACTGAAGTTTTACTTGGGAAATAAAAGAAAGGGCATTCACGTATATCAGATAAATTTTGTTCTTTGTAATGACTAAACATGATGTTTAGGAAGTTGCCTGATTTATTCTAAAGAACATCGTTAAAGCATTATATACAAGAATAATGAAAAATATTTTGATTCAATGCAATTTATTTTAGAAAGAGAAACAAATCAATCTGTAAATTTTCGTGATATTAATATCAAACGTGATTAAGGAAAACTAATAACAAATTGGTATCGTGAAAATAGTGCTGCTGATAGCACTCTCAATTTCCTATGCATACTCACAGTACCTCTCATTCATCATAAGAGAGATACATTCTCCGTTTTGTAGTTAGTCATAACTTTATCCCACGCCGCTTATCATGATTTCAACTCATGACGTATTAACTAAAAGTAAATATGACCCACCACATTTTTTCAAAAACATTTCAACAAAAGGTTGGCAATACCAAGAGAGAAGTGTAAAGATTTATGTCATGGACCTGCTCCATCATCATCAAATTCAAATAATATTATAATTGTACCCTACATACCCAGAATTACTAACAAAATCAAAAAATGTTTGAAGCAGACTAATTTAGAAATAGAAATTAAAAACATTTTAACAAACATAATCTAATTAGGAATGTTAAGGATTCGATTCCACCTGCAGAAGTGAAAATGTCTATTGTCTCCCTTACCAAGACTGATCAATTATACACTGAGGTGACTAGTCACGGGATAGCAATGTGCAAATATACAGATAGCAGTACTATTGCGTACAAAAAGTACCAGTATATAAGGGCAGTGCATTAGCAGAGCTTATGTTTATGCTCAAGTGATTCATGTAGAAATGTTTTTGACGTGAATAGGGTCGCACGACGCGAATTAACAGACATTGAACGCGGAATGGTAGTTGGAGCTAGACGCATGGGACATTCCATTTCGGAAGGGTCTTCAATATTCCGAGACCCACAGTGCCAAGAGTCTACCGAGAATACCTCATTTCAGGCATAATCTCTCACCATGGACAGAATGCAATAGTTGCGACGACTGCGAGCAGCGCCGTCAAGAGTTGGCGGTGCTAACAGACGAGCAACACTGTGTGAAATAACTTCAGAAGTCAATGTGGGATGTACGACGAACGTATCTGTTAGGATAGTGCAGAGAAATTTGTCTGTAATGAGCTATTGCAGCAGAAGCCGGTTCGAGTGCTTTTGCTCACAGCACGACACCGCCAGCAGCGCATCTCTTGGGCTCGTGACCGTATCTATTAGACCTTAGACGACTGGGAAACAGTGACTTGGTCAGATGAGTCCCGATTTGAGGAGGTAAGAGGTGATAGGAGGGTTCGAGTTTGGCGCAGACCCCACGAAGCTATGGACCCAACTTGTCAACAAGGCAAACTGGGGGTGGCTCCATAACGGTGTGACTGTTTTTACGTGGAATGGACTGGGCCCTCGGTCCAATCCATTTTCGGTTTACATGAACCGATCATTTATTTGAAATGGTTATGTTAAGCTACTGGAAGACCATTTTCAGCCATTCACGGACTTCATGTTCCCAAACAACGATGGAATTTTTTATGGATGACAAAGCGTCATGTCACCGGGTCACAATTATTCGCGATTGGTTTAAAGAACATTCTGAACAATTCGAGCGAATGATTTGGGCGTCCTGATCGCCCATCATGAATACCATCGAATATTTAACGAACATCAGTTACATGTATTTTTTTATTACTTTGCTTTACAGTTCGTAAATACTTTTATTTTCAATGATTGGTTAGTGTTTCCGGGCGCGTCAACTGCTAAGGTCCTGTAAGTGTAGTGCACTTTCTATTACTGGAAGTGGCAGTGATTTTCCCCATTGGATGCCGAGATCTGGGGCCAACCTACATGTCGGCTTGTGGCGTTTTCCCTAACCACGTATCTCCCACCAGCGAAGACCCGCCCCAGCTGGGGCACGCTCTAAGCTCCCGACGTGTGTGGTAGTTTGCGTGTGTGTGTGTAAGGCGTGAGGATAAGACATAGAAGAGAAGGGAAAGATCGCGCGCGGTCTGTGGCCAGTTTGTTAGGGGACTGCTCCGGCATTCACCTGGTGTTGATGGTTGGGAAAACTACCGATCAGAGCAGCCGCGTTGTAGAATTCTCCTCCAGATAGCGCTGAATTCGACCTGGTTATCTAGCTAGGGACGAAAATCCTAACATCGTCGGGACTCGAACCCTAGAGCCTCCCGGGTAGAGGCCCTGCAGAGACATCAATTGTTGCCCTGAGCCCCCTAAGCCGGTACGTTGATTTTTAAATTTATGTATTTGTTTGACTATAATAAGGCGTGGCTCATAAACTAAGATTTCAAATTGACATTGAATCACGATGTCTATCAAATTGTCACGAAGTAACGTACTGTTATCGCCGATTTGTAAAATAATTAAACTAACGAGACTTTTAAAAAGTGATTTTGACTTGAAAAAGTTTCAAATCAAAATTTCTTTTTTATCGGAGAATACAAATCTAGAATATAAAAATTAGGAATACCATTGAAAATTTCTTAGTTGTTTCCTGTCCCCCCGCACGCAATTTGGTGTGTGGAGACGAGCAGTAGGTAAAACAAAGTTGTTTCACCCTCGAAAATACAATTATTTTACTCCAGAAATTTTTTCGTTGTATGCGTACTTCTCAAAACGACGTTTCAATTTAAATGCACACCCGATTTTGGAGTACGTCTAAAAGTAAAATTATTCTTGAAACGTCTATGCGATGACTCTGAGCACTACTAGAGTGCCACTAGGTGAAAATATTCAGAGCATTATTTGACCCTCACTCCTTTGACATTTGTTGGAAATGCAAGCACTTGCATAAAGTTAAACGCCATTGTGTGTGGAACAGTTCAATTGTGACTGACTAGTTATGTTTCAATTTAGGGTCCGGTGTTATAGCGTTAATGGTTTTTACATGAACTGAAGTGAAGCAATATTTGCTATCGATTCTATTATCTTATTCAAAATATTTTCGATGACAAAAAAATTGACAGGTATGACGTGGCTCAAGAGAATCTTGCAATTCAGCAAACAAAGGAAGAGCTATAAGAGAAATAATGGTATATGGTATCAACTTCTTAAGAGCACTGACTCGTTCATAACAAGAAAATTGCGGTGTTTTATTCGTCTCATTTTTTTTTGTTTCTAGTTAGTGGTTATCATCTAAATGGATGAATGAACACAAAAAGTCTGCTTCTCAAAATTAATGGCAATATCACTGGATGTCTTGGAAGACGTATTTCTAAATCTTAGCAAAGAATCCAAGCCCCTTCTTTATACTCGTATGTTTCAGTTATGGACAAGGTTTGTGAGTAATCTTAATCGAATTCGCATCAGAGAGTTAACACGTTTGTATGTGTTATCATTTTGAATACTAAAGAGTTTCATAGTTATTGTACTTTGTTGTTATATAGATATACTATAAACTAAGGCAAAAACACATTGCACCTGAAAATGTAATTGAAGCAGATCGGACAATCAAAATTCTATATGATAAGCGTCAAATTTTATTTTTGTATCATGAAGAGAGCAGAAGGTGGCAAACGATTTGCAAAGACAGCAGAGGAAACAGAAGACGAACTTACATGGTCAGTTTCTTTTATTACTCGTATCAAGCATGGAAACGGTCAAATTGGTTCCGTAATAACAAATTAATAGTTAATGAAAAGGAAACTGTTTCAATGCAGTTTTCCATTTCAAATACACAGCTCTGCACTTCACTGAAAATGAACGGTCTGCCATTGACTGATGTTAAGATAACATTTTTAGGTCTTTCAATTCAGTCAAACCTTAAATGGAAAGTCCATTTAAATGAATTGTACACTAAATTAAGTTGTTTATGCTACGCTTCCAGAATTCTTTCAAATTCAGTCAGTCTAAATACTGTTCGTTGTGTATATTTCGCGAATATTCATTCCCGCATCAGATATGGTATAATATTCTGGGGTAAGATTTTTTTTAGCTCCGAGACTTTTAAATTACAAAAAAGAATTGTACGAATAATAAGCGAATCCCACCCACGTGATACGTGTAAGCCTATCTTCATCAATTAGGTATGGTCTCTTGATATATGAATCAGTGTTTTTTTGTCAAAAAATGACTGTCTTTAGGGCGATAATATATTTTTAGCAAACGCTGTTGCCTGTAACTACAACACTCGACGTAGTAATCATATTCATCAGGTGACAGTTTCAACAGCTCACTACAAAAAATTCACACACAATACATGTACACTATTTTGCAACACCTTGCCAGATTAAATTCGATACAAAAGTTTAAGTCCCAAATAAAATATTTTCTGCCGTAAAACTGTTTCTATACAATTAGAGCTTATCCGAGCATCCAAAAGGAAAGTAATATTAATTTTAACAATGACATTGAATGTATTATATACCATTTCGATTGTATAATTCTAAAGAACCTGTAACAAGTATTGTACTTCAGCTTCTGAGCCAATGACCCCCTTCTCGATCAGGTTTTCGTCCAGTTTCCCTTGAGCAAATGCTGAGATGGCCCCTCGTTTTGCTTCTGAACATAAGTGTAACTTCAAATTAACTTCTCTCCATTGCATGTCACACAGTTTTTTACTGTTTTTGATGTAAATAAATAAATTAATTAATTTACGAAGTGATACGTTAGAGTGGCCAGGACCAGCAGTGCACGTTTTTCATCATTGTCACTGCCCAACATATTTGTGGCAGTAACAAGTATGATCGATTCTCACTTGCTTGAAAAAACGTCACTTTACTCATCATGAGAATGAATTTTGAAAACTAGTTTTTTCAATAAAATATCGTTTCTTGACATACTGTCAACTTTTAACTTCTCAAGAATACTGCTTGTAACAATCTAATCGTATACTTCTGCAATTATAGATTTTCATATTAATAAAATGGAAATAACAATGATATTGTTATTGTAATATCTGTGGTTACTAACTTCACAGAACAACGCACATGTTTCGCGGAGTCCTCTGTTTACACAACCGACTCAGTATATCTGAGAAAGATGTCTGTTCTGTGTGCTCAGGCAGACCTTAGCAGTGTCAGTTGTTAATGAATAAACTTAACAGTCGCATTTCGTCAGAAGACTTCCATTTGAGAGCGAATATGTGTTTCTACGATTCATAGCATGGCATTGGCCTCACGGTTGCTTCATGTTTGGACGTCACGATGCGTCGTGTCATTGACGCCCCTTAGTTCGACAGGCTGCCAACGCGCGCCGGTGAACAAACTATATAAAAATGTTATGTGTGTTCCACTTTGAAAGTTGGCATATCTATACAAAATTAGTGTCGATATACACGAGTTACTTTTACAATTAATGTAAGTGTCTTATTGAGTGAATTTACATATTAAAAATTCAAATATGTCTTAAATATTAAATAATATGATTACAAAAATTAAATTTACGTCACATGAAAGTACATCTTTTTAAGTTAAATTTAAGTGTAATTTTATTTTTCTGAAGAAATTGGTATTTGCGTAAAAAATTAAACGTTTACGCGCACATGATTTTTTTGGAAAAAAATTGTCAATATTTCTGAAAGAGGTGGAATTAGAAACCCAAACAAATACGTGTCACTTATTTTCACCCTAGACCTCATAAAAAAGTTTCAATTCCCTAGAAAGTGATGTTTTGTGAGCGTGCGATTTGAAGGGGAATGACTCATTTGCCTCCCGTGCTCGCATTATCACAAAAATGATAATTGCCATGACATATGCCGAAACTAGTATTTGTTACAAGACAACATTCTTTGATTATTTTGGAAGATTTCTCTTTGCATAGACAGCACGTAGCTTGGCTGTCATGGACCTGAGTTCGCGTTACGGCGCGGAAATAAATTTTTGTTGGTTGAAAACAGTTTTTTAACAGCGAGCACATTGCGAGCGTCTTATTGAGCAAATTAGGAAGAAGAAGAAAAAGCGAGCTGCAAGACCTAAGGAATCGATGATATATTAAATGCAACATCTATGGCGTACGCGTATTGCAAATTGCCTGTCACTAAGACGCCACGATACGATTCTGAAATTTGTGTATACTTGGTCGCAGGTGGGTTCGTATTGCCAAACTTCTGAAGCTAAGGGAAACTCAGCCGATGAGTATGGTGGGTCACATAACCTCAGGCGTAAGTCCAGTATTGGTCCACTCCTTTGACTTTCGAGGACCCTCGGTTACTTCTAAAAAATGGTCATTTGGATGCCCTCCTGCAGCATCTCTTCGGCAATGCTATTTCATACGCATATTTTATACATTTTTTTCTTTCTTTCAGTTCTTAGAATGTTAAATATATTTTTCCAAAAGTGTAAATTATTAGTAACCTTTATTATAATTTTGTTGTAAAATCAAAAAATAATGAAGTTTTAATGTTTTTGTTTTTCTTCTTGTACTAGAAAACTGATGATGATGGCTAAGCCATCGACAGCTGCTTTTTTAATAAATAATATTGTTGGCAATGGCGACGCATATAATTATTTCATTTCGCGAACGGCCAACGTTTTCCTTAAACCCAAAGCCCCGTAACGGCGCGGCAGCAGAGGCACGGCCATCTTACCAGCCAGGCGAGCAGCACGGCGACGGCCGCTCCCAGGCCCAGCATGGCGTGGGCGTCGGCGGGCGCGCCGCCCGCCAGGGGCTCCGGCCGGCCGGGGCGCGGGGGCGGTGCCGGGGGCGCGCGTCCGCAGCTGAAGGCCACCGCGGCCGCAGAGCGCGCCACCAACGCCGCCGTCAGCAAAGTACTCACGTCTGCGGGCAGCGCCGGCGGGTGCTCTTGTTAATGCTCTCACAAAAATTGCGCGCAGACTGTACCGGTATCCTCACGTTTACCGTGGGATACGGTCTTTTGGGGGTTTAGTGGGTCAAACAGGTAGGTCAAATTGACTGGCACTGATGTGTATTTTCGTACATCTTAACCACTCTCTTCGTTCTACGGTGTCAAGGGATCACAATCTCCAAATTATTTCAAGTAGCCTATGGTAAACGATATCGCATTTGTAATAAAATAGCCATTCAACAATACAAATATAATCGATATCGTATATTTTTCACTAATGTAACCAATATAATAATTATTATCATCTACTTCTATTTTTCCTCCTAGTTACACAGACGTTTTTTTCTTACACAATTTCTCCACATCACATTATGTTGTCATATTAAAAACATTATGTTTATTAATTTATTTTTAATTATTAATTAAAAAAGAAACAGAAATAAATGAAAAGTATTGTAAATACATACCATGGGACCAACGCAACCGGCAGTTCATAGGAGAAAACACATATGATATACAGAACCTGGGAAGAGGAATCACGAGGAAGAGCCGACGGTTGACCTTGAAAACGACCAAGAGAAGAGACGAGATGACAGAGAAGAAACGACGGGCTGCCTGACATGCGCGTAGTCCCACGTATGCGGTCACTCAGTGAGTGGTAAACCATCTTCGTTGTGCGCGAGAAACGATGGTAGACAAATGCATGACTGTGCAAAATGCACACCTTCCGGTACAAGTTGCCTTGTGAATGTCGCCACTGACAGAGAGGATGCGAAAGTTGTGCCAGGCAGGATGCAACACAGACTGGCCACGGGTAATATTTAGGTATGCGTCTCACTAGTGTTGTGGTAGCAATGGTATTCGAAACCAACTCGAACGCGGCAAGTTGGGTTTTTTGTTTCTCGAATTGCATTTGCTAACTTGGATGTCTGACGTGGAAAAGAAAGACACATGTGTAGTAAAACTGTAAAATCCGTCTATAAGAGTATCATTAAAACTTTTAGAAAAACTGAAAAACATCTCGAATATTACATTTCTTTTCGTTTCTTCTATAATCTCGTTACATTTCTTAAAGTAAAAATTTCGCGAAGATTTTCCTTAAAATCGATATAAAATCTCACATTATGTGTTATGATGCTAGATATTTATATTTTTCTATGAAATGAATTTTGTTCGGAAAAAAATATATATATTGTAAAAACATTTTTCTTTGGACGCTTTACAAAGACAATAAGAGCCTTTCGGAAGTAATTGAAGAAACTGATATTCTTTAGCTGTGTTTCTTCAATGGGGCATCTTCATCCTCTCTTCTGGCAAAAGAATTTCGTGTATTCCTGTATTTTGTGCGAGATTTATCGAATTTGATGGATTGATTAAGATAAGAGTGGTTGTGATGCTGGTTAAGCCTGGTTGGAAATATAGGAAATCATAGGACAAGACTAACACATAAAAGGGCAGACGAGAGAACATCTTCCAGGAGACTGCCAATTCCCACTCCTCATGAATTGACTGGGACAGAGGAGGGATTATTGGCGCTTCCTCAACCTGGCGTCGGGGAGGGCCCGAGCACAAGCCGGCAGCACGCCGGCGGCTGGCCAGCGCTGTGCGCACGCCACGCCCGCTCCGCAGCTCTTCCGCGCCTGCCCGCGCACGCGCGCGCCGCCGCACCCCGTCACCCGCGCCGCGCAGAACGCGTCTTGCCGCGCCGCCCACGCCGGCCGCGCCGCCCGCGCCGTCCGGCCGGGGTGAGCCACAGAAGCAGGCACGAGGGGCCACGCCGTGGGCACTCGCCAGGCTAGCAGCGCCCCGGAGCGGGCAGCGGAGGCCCGACAGCACTGCGGCGCCACAACCACTGCCGCGAAGTACGCCGTGCTCGCACACATCCTGGCGCACACGCGCCGCACCAAGCATCGCCGCTGGGCCCGAGAGCGCGAATACTCACCCCATCGCATTCGCCGGCGTTATCGTTTTGAAGACACGCTGGTAACAGGCAACGGGCCAGTCCTGAAAGCACTAGCCGGACAAGGTAGTCGAAGCCCCAACTCTTACTTACTTAATTACTCTAGAGTGCCACGTACTAGACTAGACAGACATCGGCTGAGTTTATTTGAGAATCAGCAGCGACTCTGACCGGGAGGTCCCAGTCCCAGTGTCCCGACGGTGACAGATTTTCGACCTACCTAAAGCTGCTGTCATCGGTAGTTTTACGTGGTTTCTGGTCCAATGCTCTCCACTTATACGCTCTTATACTTGCATGCAGTACACTACTACACATGTCGGAAGACCAGTCGGGATCTTTGTAGCTTGTCCACTCTGGGGTGGTGTTCCGCTGGGGGGAGATAGCTGCAGGTGGAATATCCCGCAAGCCGAAGTGTAGGTTGGCGCCGGGTCTCACCGTCCAGTGGGGAAGGAACCTACAATTTTTCACCTCACTAAAAGGGATAATGGCCATAGCAGTTGATGTGCTCGGAAACATCAAATTAATCAGTCAATCAACCAACCATCCGTTTGATTTTTTTATTGATGAATTATTTCGAGTTTCCGGGCACTTCAATTGCTTTAGTCATTAGTCCCGATAGTGTGGTGCCTGATGTTCTCAAAGGATGTGACGCCGTTTCTCTCCCTCTGGATAGAGAGATCCTGCACCGACTTGCGGGGTTTTCTCCACCTAGGTATCTTCCACCAGCGGGGCACCGTTCCAGCAGGGACAAGTACTAATCTTCCGACTGGTCTCCCGCCTTATGTACCATCCGTTGGATGCATCTACTCTGACGATTCTACTGCTGTCGTGAAGGCCAAACTGTAGAGGATATATTCAACGGATATGCTCAAACAGTACGAATACCAAACATGACTATCCCAGACAATTCTATAATGGACCAAAAACGATTAAACAGGCGGTACAGCTCATACTTTCTTGCATTATTTCTACGTTTTGCAATTGACGGAAATCCAAGGAGTTCAACGATAATGACACCTGCGCTAGTTTGTAAGTCTTCTATCCGAGGGAAAAATAAAGTAAACATTCGGAGCCGTTTTTGAGAATTTTTTGAAGTAAATTATTTGAATCTCAAGCAAAAATTTCTCAACACCTCTTCGTTCGTTTACAAACTTCTACAATACATTATATAAGGATCTAATTTTTTAGAACAGATTCCATTAAGGGAAAAATCTCTATAGTCATTATTGCACTTTTGCAATGCTATTGTTTTGCAATTCTCGAAAATAAGAGTTCGCCGAATTTGTGACCAGTATCACCCTCCTTGTGTAGATACGAGAAAAGAAATTAAGGAAAAAATTGGAGCCGTTTTTGGGAACAAATTGTTTAAAAATTGCCTACATTTCTCGCAAAAGTACGCAAACACTACTAATATTTTCGCAGTATTGTGCATGACTTTATTTCAAGATCTGGCTTTGAAAAATAAATTCATTATGGAGAAAATGTTCTTCAATATTGTCGTTGCAGGTAGACGCCAAAAAGTTTTAACTTTTATAATTTTCGAAATTTGAGAAAGTGCAACAAGAATGGGGCCTTAACCATATTTTTAAGCTCTCTTTGCCTTATCCGCGGAAAAAGTTTAATCAAAACATTTTGATCCCATTGTAAGAAAATGCCGAGACTTCATGTTAAGTACCCCTAAATATCAAAATATCTGTTTCAATAATGTCGAGTTCGGTCAGATTCATCGGGGAATATCAATTTGGGGAAAATCATTTCACGGCTGTAAGCGCTACCGTTGGCTGTAGGTCGACAGACGGACGTTTTGTTGACACCCAATCGTTAGGTATCAAGGATCCAAGGATTTAGCGCTTGTGCAGTCAGTGGCGCAGTCACTTGTCTTTCACCTCTGAGGTTCCGGGTTCGATTCCCCTTGATCGTCATGTAAAATTTGTTACGACAAAACCAGTTTGCCTGCTGAACAATCCAACCACTGTGAAGCGTCCTATAAGCTTACTTATCCTTATTCCATCCCAATTCTGGTCGATTGGTAGAGACGCAGGGTGCATGCGAGACGCAAGCGCGAAAACGCTACCTATTGCTACCTAACGGAGGATTACTTTGAATTAAAAAAAAATCAACGGAAGATTACTCATCCATGGTGCGCTCAACGCTCTTTAAGGAGTTAGGAGTCACGTTGCGTCTGTAAAGACCCAACAAATTCTAAAAAACAACAAAAACACGTGGATTCTAACTGCACAATGTATTCTTCTTTTAATGCCATACTGATTAGTTCGTAGGCTAGTCCGTAGTACAGTACCTAGGATATTTTGCCATCGCTTTCCCTAGGGATGCTAGTGTAGCTAAATCTTCTCCAGAATTCGACCTAGGTATCTAGCTAGTGTGGAAAAATCCTGCCACCGTCGACTCTCGAACACTAGGAACCCCCAGTGAGTGGCACTGCAGTGTCATTATTTGATGCTCTGAGCAACCGAAAACGGTGCTAGAATTTAGAAAGAAATGAAAGTTAAATGGAAATTAGTAGTAAAGAATGTGAACATAATACGAATCTCAGTTGTTAGATAGCAAAAATATTTTCATAAGATTCCTATTCCTCGTGTGGTGCTGCTTCAGCTTGAGCGTGTTCATCTTTTTCTGGCTTCTGGACTTCGAGGGAAAATGAGAGGGAGGTCAGGGAATATCGCTCATGCTCGTAGGAGCCCCGGACTTCGGAGTGGGCAAGTACCTCGTGCGGACGCGATTAGACATGCCTGTTCTGTAACATGCAGAAGTTTGTGCTTAACGTGAGCGCCGAGTTTATGATTTCCAAGCCGAAAAAATTGATATATTTTTAATTCGAACTCCGAAAAATGAAAGTTTGTGAATTATGTAATTGGGATGCAAATTATGATAGTCGGGTAGCCTACCCAATCCTGCGATTACCTCCGATCTTCTTATCCAGTCAAAATTTTATGAACGTCGTATGTATTTAATAGTTTTTTGTATTAGAAAAATAATTTTCTAAAATAGA